ATATGAGCCATTCATCATCTGTAAATTGTTGTTATTCATCATCCCTACATTGTTTATTGATCCATTTTGAAACCCGTAAGCTTTTTGCTGCAAACTAGACCTAACTCCACCAGCCATATGGCTTCCAAGACTATGCAAGATTTGACTATTTTGACCACCAACTTGCTGTTTTTGATTTAGTGGCTGAGAGATAATTGTAGAATCCACACCCGAAATCCCAACAAGATTATTAGATGAATCCGCATTCATGTAAGACTGTTTACCAGTGTTATTAATATTGCCATTGTTGTTGTTGTTACTAAATCCAGGAGTAGGTATCATTTGGCTTGCCATTCTTTGTGCACTCATTGATGAAATCATGCTGTTCCCACCTGAACCCATGGCAAAATTGGATGTTGACTGTTGATATCCATTAGTCAACCCTCCTGCATTCAAAAGTGGATTCCCTTGTGAAATGTTATTCAAATCAAAATTTTGCTACAGATTATGAGGTATAAATAATTAAATACTGTCAGATGAACTGAAGGAACCACTATTAGGTATGAAGCTTCCAGTATTACCACCATTTGAAAACGAGTGATCCATAGATGATTGAACAGTTAAGCTTGAATTCCCGGTTTGAGATACACCCGGAGTCGGAATCATGATTCCCATTGCAACAGAGGTATTCCTATTCCCTTGCTGCTGATATTGTTGATTGTGATTATTCAATGGGAGACGTTTGATCAAACTATGTAGCCGAATTTCTAATGTCTCTAAGTTCATATACTCCTCCTAAAATTGAAATTTTTTTTTTAAAAAACAATTTATAAGAAAATATAAAAGAATACAATGTTAACAAACATAAAAACAAACCTTGGAGGTAGCAATTTTAAAAAGGCCTTCCTCTAATCGTTTAACAATATCAAGCACTTTCTTTTGGGCTATCACTTGTGTTTGTTGTCGTTGCATGAGAAAAGCATAGCTGGGGAAAGGAGATTCAATTTAACTGTCAGGGGTCAAAATAGGAGAAAAGGTAAATCTTGAGGGGCTATTTATATCAAATTTAGGAAGACTTACATTTTCTCTTGTATGAATCGCCTTGCCTTGACAAAACCAGGCTCCATAATGAGTGTACTACGCTGACCTCCTACACTGTTTTGCATCATGTTCTGCTGATGTGGCAGGGCATTGGGCACCTGCCCAGAGAACTGACCAGCCATCTGTGTCTGTAAATTCATTCTTAAGCTGTTGTCTTCAATCAATATATGATATAATTCATAACACAATGTCACAATCCAATACTCCTGATCAATATCACATGTTCCATAATATTAATGATGCCTAATCATTTACTCAAGCTGTATGCATAATTGCAATTGAATGGAAGAAATAAAATTAAATGGAAAAATAAGGTCAAAGAATCTGATTTTAAATGGTTTGCTGGATTTGCAGTAATGTACTAAAACAGAATCCCAAACAGTCAAGTGTCAACTCTAGTTAATGTACATTTCTATAGGGATGTAAGATAGAGATGGAACTCTGTCACAATCAACTTCAATAAATCTTCAGCAGAAAGCCTGTCACATCAACAATGCCTATGGATTCGCTCCCATTAAAATCGCAAACAAACAAGTCAACTTAAGACATGACACCCAAACATTGATAATGATCCCCAATTACAGGAAATTTCAAAACTGAAACTCCCAAAACCCAAACTAAAAAATATGACGAAGTGGATGTGACTTTATAAGCTAAAACGAACAAAAATCATTCACTTCAAACGACATTAACTATAGCGTAGTTCTTGGACACTATCCAGTTCAATTACACAAAACCCTAATCCAAATTCTACAAATTGATACGATCAAATACAAATTAACTAAAAGTGATCGAGAATCAGAGGAAAGCTAACAACTGATCGCAGTACAAGTACCTTACTTGTTATTGTTCTTGGTCTTTGAACAGTACGGCGATGAGTAATCAAAAACGTGTTTGTCCACCCCTATACGACTTGCAGAGTATGAGAGAGAAAGAGAGAAGAATTTTGTCGGACCTTGTCATAGACAAGAAATTTTACGACCCGATTTCAATGGGTTATCGGATTCATGTAGGAATGACCCGAAACAAAAAACAGTTTCCCAATTTGGGTTCTAAAGAGGGCTTTCCATGAACCCACTTTAAAAGCAAGCTAGCATCGTATTCGTGTATTCCCTTCTTTTTATCAATGAATATATTCATGTATTTATAGAAAAATCATTATCTTTTGGGTAATTTACCCAACAAAAACTATTTTTGTTTATTTTTTTACAAAACAAATATTAATAAAACCAATATCAACCGGGTATTGCCAAATGTTTAGAACCGGAATTGATCCGGTTGGTCAAACAGTTGGACCTTGAACTGATGAAGAGACCGGGCCAACTAAGAGCAGTTTTTTTTTATTATTTATGAACTGGATTGAATCAGCCGATTTTACCATAAAGCCGATTGAACCGTTGACCAAGGCTGTTACAAAAATCTGTTTTAAACCGAATAAAATAATAATAGCACAAAGTACCATACTCATATTTATCTTTTATTATTTTCAACAGCATTACACAGTTATATAAGATATAGAAAATGTTGTGAAACAAAACATCAAACGATTTTGACTTAATATTTGATTGTTGTTTTAATTTTGATTCACTATTCCATACACCCCACATTGATCTGACTATTCATTGTTCTTTGTTCCTTGAAACATCAATCTTTTCATATTAACTAAAAACTTTATTAAGTTTACATATTTTATTTTAGTAAACAGGAGAGATTTGATAGATTCAAATTGTTGAATAACATGTAATTATTCGCATTTATATTTCATCTCCAAAGCATCTTGACATGCAATAAGGAGAAGTCTCTTACTTTTGGAACTAATACTTCCACTTCTTTTTTGGTCTAGCTGAAGAAGACTAGAATATTAACTCGTATTTGAAAGATTTTCAATAATATGTGAAGGTCGAATAGGAAATACATCATTATGCATTGTAGCTATAGAATAATCACTTGTATTCTGAAAATCAAATTGAACCGGTGGTTCAACTAGTTGAACCGATCGACCCGTGGCCCGTTCATCACATCGATTCATTTAGACAGTTAGAGTAAAAACAAACAATTGGAAGGGTTTTAGAATGTTTGGGTTTTCAAAAGGGCTTCCATGAAAAGGATTAGTTCGATATGATTGACTAAGATAATCAAAAGTTTGGTCCTATTAAGTTTTGATTTTATAACCTCGTTTACAAAAGTTTTGTAACCTTGTTAGTCACTCTAGTGTGGTGTTAAGAGAGAGATTCACATGACTAATTGACCATAAGTTTGGTAAGTTTTGATTTTGAAGCCTTCTTGCTCATCTTAATCCAGATGATGATGGAACATGAAGAACACAAATGTCACCGGTGGCTACTTGGTCACAAACAATATGTATTGATCTGGATCAAGGTGTTTTGTCTCTAATGTTAAATTGGATTTAAAGAAAAAATATAAATTGCACGTACATCACCGCAATACATAATAGTAGCTTTAGAAATCAAACCAGCATGTCTCAGAAACTGCATTGGCAACAACATAATACTCAACCTCTGCACTAGCACTAAAACGAGAGTTTGTGGGTTGTTGCTTAGAGAAGCATGGGAGAAGATTATCGTCGAGGTAAACATGGTAACCTAAAGTAAAGTGTCAGGTGGAATGACATCGCATTACTGCTTTAGATAGTATTGAAATTCATGTTGTTTTGTAACAAACCATCAGGAAATTTATATTTTATCATCTTATACAAAGTATGACAAAGATTATGGTTGTTATTTCCTAACAAATACTATTAGAGAAGGTTGTGACGCCTATTTTTATCATGAGTGAAGGGTAAACATAAATTAAATATTACTTTGTATACCAAGCATTATATATGTGATAATTAAGGTTACGCATGTTTATATTTATCAGAATAATATTGTTTGTTATAAACCTTATTCTGCCATCAAACCAACACTTGATAGTTGATATAAAAATACTTTGTTTTGTACCATATATGGATATTGATTGATCTCAAGTGGATGATACATTTTTGCCTCACTAACGTCCATAAAAAGATATTTGGACTTAATTTGATCTTTTAATGATAATTGATAAATGAACTTTCCTTATATCACACATTGGCCACAGAATCTTCCAACAAACTACACATGTCTGCAAGTTTTACATTTCACATTTTTTTCACAATCAAAAGTAATGCTTATGTCTCTATGTGTTTGGACTTTATTTAAAGTTTTATATAATTAATCAGAGACAATGTGAATTTCGGTTCTATTGAAGTGATATCTGATCAAATATGTAAAAACTGTTTGATTCTATTGATTGTGGCGATTGGCAAATAATGTCAAAATCAACTAGGTATAGACATTTGTTATGGTGTGCAAAACATGTTGATTACAGAGCCCCAATAAAACACATATTTTGGATAAATTTATAGCTATCATTAAATTTGTCATCAAAACACATATTTTGTGTTAGATATCAAACTCCTTGATGGTGTTGGAAATTGGAATCTTTAAAAAATTCAAGTCATTTTTTACATGAGATTGTGATTAGATTTTAGGAAATGAAAATTGCAACAAGTAAATTTTAATATATGAAGATCATAAATGGGATACCCGATACCTGCGGTTATATATCCGGAAACCCGATGGGTATTTTTATGTTCTAACCACTAAATTTTCATTTTTTATAGTTGGATCACTAATCATTTTATAACCAGGGATATTGGGGTATTTAAACTTCAACTGTCACAATAGTTGAACATATAAATGTTTAAAGACTCACCCACTAAAATGAAGTTGACATGTTGGAAAATTGGTTGCCATTTAATGCATTAAAAACTATTTTTGTATTACAAAAAATACCAATCAAACGTCTTCAAATTCATTTTGAAAATTTGGTTGCTATTTAATATAGAAAGTGTAAAAGCTCACAATGTGTGCGTCAAGTCAACTAATTCTGGGGCTCATGTTGAACTTGCAGTCTCTGAAAAATCTTGAAATCATCTCAGCTTTTTCTGATGAAATGTCAGTGTTTTCCAGAATGATTTCCTTTGATGCTTTGGCTAATGCTTCGATTGATCCTATGCTTTGAAGCTGTTGCCACAAAACATATTACCACAAAGTGTTACCATGTGGTAATATATCATTTCAAAGCACATAACTAAATGCATGAAATAGCAACATACTTTCATTTGCTTGTGTATCATAGCATCCTACTTTGATTTCTTTCTGTTACATCATTGTATATTTGTAAGTTCAGAATTTTTCTTATTAGGACATTATACTTTGAAATTTTACTCGATTATAGCAGTGAAAATTGATTTAGATTTGGATTTGGATGGCATTGTTATAGAATCAGGTAGATTTTTCAAAGTAGAATGTTGTAATAGGAAGTAAACAAATCAACAAAAGTATGCTGCTGTGCTATTTCTGCGTTATAGTGCTAAAATAAATGTGTGGTGTAGACTCTAGAGTTAGTGATGTTAATACCGCATTAGCATCATGAGGTTCAACACGTGGGATTGAGGAGACAACTCTGAGGAATGCATTCATCCCTTGGACTGACCTCTCCCTCTTACAGAAAAAAGAAAAGCACATAAACATAAGAAGATAACTCTGAAAAATTTTGAAAAAAAAAAAAATTTAATTAAAATTAAAATTAATGGAATGGAAACTTACCTCAGCTTTCAATTTGGAAACTACATCGTGCCTCTTGCACACTGTCAAACAATACAACAATTTTTGTGATAATGAATATGATGAGGGCATGAATGTCTTTTCCGTATGTTTCACAAGATGGGATGGGACTATACAAGCTATCCAGGGCTATCTTTTATGATGAGGGTATTTATGTCTTTTGCACAGATGAGAGACCAAAAGTAAGTCCTTGTCCCACCTTTTTGAGTGAGACAAAAAATTGCAATTTCTGTCATGTCATGTGTAAGAAATGGGGACTAAGTATGGAGCCTTACCACCACGAGCATGTGCTATTCTTACAATCTTCTCAAACCCCATTTCTAGATCCAGAGCTGGAACAAATGTTGGTCTACCAATATCCTTACTGTAACTAAATAAAATAAAAAAGATCATCTCCATGTTTTTGTTTAAATCATCTAGAGAGGGATTGTGTGGAAGGTAAAAGTGTCATGTGTGATTTACCTAAAATAAGAATGTACAAAAGAATCATTCTGCTCCTTTGTGGGAAGAATGACGACCACATAGAGATGTGCAAATTGACTCTTCAGTTTCTGAGCTCTGTATCAACTAACATAAGATCAAAGGTGAACAAGATAGAGCTATCTGAAAAATAAAATGTCCACTTACCTGCTAAAAATAGGTCCAGGATTGTTGCAGTCGTAATTTATGACAAAAATGAAAGCCAGCGATAAACCCCCACAGTTAAAGATGAGATCCTGAAAAAGTGAAAAGTGAAAGTTTAAAGCCAAAGTAGAAGAGATGTGGAACTGGTGAAAAGAGAGATGATAAACATAAACCAAATGGATTTTTTACAGGTGCAATTGGCACAAAGTTTAACCGAAAGGAATTTGAAGTGAGGAAGCAGGATATAAAGTTTATGAAGGATGAATGTTGTTCGTCTCTCCATTTGGTACTCATCAGGCAAACCCCACCAACACCTGTATCAATGCAAATCCCACTTAGTTATAAGGAATCAGTAAATCACTAACAGAGGTAAAAATGTCATTCTTGAAATACTCTCATCTTAATTGAAAACTTTGTCCCATGAAGTATTTTCTTGGGATACAGATTATGATGTTTCTCTCAACTCTCAACTCTCAAGCTCGTATGCATCATCAGTCACAGAAAGTATGCCATGTATTTTGGCATGACCTCAGTTTGACTGCCAGTGTGATAGTGATAAGTTTGTAAATGTCCCAGTAAAGCAAGAGCCAATGTCTCTAGATCCTCAACCAAGGAAGATCATTGTACCCCACTGACAATGTTTCAACTCAGATAAGCCTAAAACCAATTTCATGAAATAACATAGTTTGATGCTTATGGTGATGCCATGATGCTAAAATGAAGCAAATAGCCTGATGATCTCATGATCATGCAAGTAGCACTACTTCTCATGCCTGTCTTTCAAGTTTCGACTCACACAAACATATGCAGCAGGAAATTTCATCAAACTCTTCCCCAGGATTAGTGAACAGGTAGTTATACACTATAATCAGTCGCATATAAAGCTATAACTAGTAGGCATTTGAAGAAAAACATTAAACCAACACTAGTCAATCGCATAAAAGATAATGAAAACAATCAAAAGTTTAGATATCGTCACTTGAACCTCTATTGATGGACACGTGATAGCAATTAGCCTTTTACAGGGAATTTCCATTATTTCAGTTATTAACTGGCAAGTGATGTGCTGCAACCAATGAATCTATCTATATTACAATGTAAAATTTTCATACGATACATAACTGAAGTCAGAGATGTAATAAGTCATGTAAATGTATAGAAATTGCATCAACGTAAAAATGACCTAAAACTGAAACAATTTACAGAATAGTAGAAAAGATCACCTGAGTTACGTATAGATTCGTTGTTCTGAGCGCGAATCATCGACAAAATTCAGATTCTTACGAAATTTGCCAACTCAAAGTTTCGAAAACGAACATGAATTATGAATCTTCTGCAGTCGTCAAATTCAATTGGACTATAATCACTGCGCCGTATTCCTATGAGCTTCTGAATTATGCGTACCTCATGGAATGACAAAAGAATACGAGTTCCGAGCTTCCGACCAGCACTGCAATGGAGAATTAGGGCAATAGCTTAAACTCCAAGTTCCATTAGTGGTGACGGGCGAGGAGAGCGTCGGACGATCGTGCAACGTTAGACGATGATATTGGCCCCTGTTTGGCGCTCATCTTTGAACTTCTAAGGGGGTGTTTGGATTCATGTTAAAAAGTTTTTGACAAAAGTCCTTTTTATTTTTTTGGCTTTTTACAAAATTTCCTATGACAAAAGTCTTTTTTGATTTTTTGACTTTTTACAAAAGATAGTTTTAAAATGTGTTTGGTTCATCTTTTAACTTTTAAAAAGCTAAAAACCCAAAAATTGCAAAAAGTCACAATTTCATGATTTTTCAAAAGTTTATTTTTGTTATTGCCAAAAAGTTGTTTTAAAAGAACTTTTTGAAATGCCCAAACATCTTTTTTAACTTTTAGCTTTTTGGAAAATCTAAAAGTTCTAAAAGTCATTTTAAAAGATTTCTCAAACACCCTCTAACTTACCGTATCAATTAATTTTGACAAAACTGCAAATTTGGTCTCTGTGGTTTGCCAAAAAAATGTAGATGGAGTCCAAAATCAGTTTTTTTTGTGGTTATGGTCCCTATCAAACATAAAAAGACTATTATACCATTTTAATTTGTTTTTTATATTTTTTTATTTCTTTTACCATTTTTATAATTTAAAAATAAAAAAGAAACAACAAACCTCCCAAACCCACTACCCGGTTACCCTCTTCCCTCTTCCCCCTCTTTTCTCTCTCTCTCTCTCTCTCTCTCTCTATATATATATATATATATCTCTCTCTCTCTCTCTCACACACACACACATCCCCAAGAAAACCCAGAACCACCAAATTTCACCATCTCCACCATAGATTCACCTCTGAATGATAAGAGAATTTCACGACTTAACTTCAAACTAAAGCTTCATACCTGATTCATCCTATGATCGTGTTCTTGCTTTCATCCCAGATTCATCTTATGTTCCTCAAATCAAAGAAACCTCACAGCCACACAAGGGTTCTGGAACCTCGGTTATTCCCAATGCGATACAATTTATGCAATATGAGGATCGATGCATTTGATTCAAGTCCCTTTGTTCATCATTGACATATTATTAGGGCTCCAATTTGTTCAACACAAACTTGAAAAATGGATGAACAACCCAGAAAATCTATTATCCAACCTTACCTCCATTTTCTTCTTCTTCACCTTAAGTGCAAGATAAGATCAATTATCCAAATTCATTACCGGGTTCTTCTCATCAGACTTCAAATTGAAAAAAACCCATCAGCCAAGCATACATCAACACTGTCAAACAGTAGGAGTTTTTCCTCCTGTGGTTACTATTCGCTCTCACTTGAGGATGGTGGGTACCGTTGAGTAACATCCCCTCCATTTTTGTTTCGTTCCATATTTTCTTCGATTTGTAATCAGCATCAATGTTTTGTTTTCTCCATTCCAAATTTTCATGGGATTTATATTTCTAGGTTAGATCCCTCTCTCTAATCCTTCAAACACTTTCGTGATGAAGTTCTTACACTATGTGTGTATGTGTGTTTGAGCTTCTTTATTTCTAGTGTGTTTGAGCTTCTATGTTTCAGGTGTGTTTGAGCTTTTCTCTGTAACTAGTATGGCTTAGTTAGAAAAAAACTGTGAGAATGGTGTGAAATAGAGCAGTAAGGAAGAAGAAGATGAGAGAGAGAGAGGGAGAGGGAGAGAGAGAGAGAGAGAGAGAGAGAGGGAGGGGTAGGGATACGGTGGGTGAGGGTAAGGTGGGCCAATCCTTGTTTTTTGTATTATTTTTAAATTAAAAGGGTCTTAAAACAAATACAAAAAATTAAAAAAGAAATTAAAAGGGCAAAATAGTCCTTTCAACTTTTTGAGGGACTAAAACCACAAAAAACTTCTGATTTTGGACTAGTGGTGCAAGTTGGAAATTTTTTGGACTCCATCCACATATTTTTGCTAACCACAGGGACCAAAACTGCAGTTTTGTCATTAATTTTCTACAAAATTGCAAGTTTTGTCCCTGTGGTATGTCAAAAATTGGATGTTTGGTCCAAAAAGTTTTGGGGTTGCACCGGTGGTCCAAAAGGTTTGATTTGTTATGGAATTGGTCCAAAGGCTTAACAGTCGTTTGTGCCCTCCGTTTGTGTGAGGGTATTTCTGTCAATTCACACCCCTTCTTTTAATATCTTCTTAAATTAAACCCCATCTTCCTAATTAATTGATACCTACCGCCAAATCCCCTGTGCAGTTCGTCGATTGACTATCATATCACCTTCGTCTTCGTTCGTTACCCAAAAGCCCTAATCTCAAAGTGAAGTTTTTTTGTGATCGTTGTTATTTCAGTGTATGAACATACCAATGTGGAATATAAGGCTCTTAGACAAACCGTTCAACGCAAAGGTGGCTTATGGTAAGGATTTTGTAATTTCTCTGTACATTACATCTTTTGTATGTGAAATCATGCTTCTGAACTTATTTTTGTTGTTGGTTTGAAGATGGCCACCCAACATTATTTACCATCAAGTTATACCATGGAGGTGAGTTCACCAAGTTTCCTGATGTTCGGTACATTGACGGAAGTGTGAACTATGTTGACATGGTGGATATAGACAAGTTTTCAGTTCATGAGATGGATGCTATCATGAAAGGGTTCAGGTACGGTGTTCCTCCTGTGATTTACTATCACTTCCTTGTGCCTGGTGGAGACTTCCACTTTGGTCTTAAACCCTTAGACAATGATGATGATTTACGAACTTTTGCCCAATATGTGCGTGATCACAAAATCATGAGGGTATATATAGCAAACATGGTGAGACAAAGTTACTTACCTACTTTATGAATCCTAAACCTGTTAGGAAGGTAACTATTGTACAAATGGATGAAATAGATGGAAATGATGATAATGAAAACCCCACAGCTGAGGTACAAGATTTACCAATCCCGCCTACATCATCCCCTGTTGAGGTACAACCATTACATGTTGAGGTTCATGATAGACAAAAAGAGCTTATTGCTAATGACTTTATTGGGGCAGCTACAGAATTTGATATTGGTTTGTATCAAAAGATATTACAATCAAATGCAGATGTTGGTCAACATGTACAAGTAGAAGTGGAAGAACACGTTGAAGATGAAGTGGAAGAACATGCACAAGTAGAAGTAGAAGAAAATGCACAAGATGAAGTGGAACTAATCATCCCGTCCAACATCTCATCTTCATCAACCATTCCATCATCATCACCAATATCCTCAAAGTTTTCCGGTAACTGCCTACCAAATCCCCCAGCACTAATCTCCATCTTCTCTATTTTTTCAAGTAAAGCACCCGTAACATTTCTAACAAACGGTAACCTTTTCACTATCTTCAAACCTGTGAACTTCATTCTATATACATACACCAGCTACATCAAAAAGATTAAAATTCATTAAGTAATTCATTATACATATTCCTGTCATAAAGTAAAGTAAATATTTAATATAGACAACAATATTACCGTCAAAACTAGTATAGGTCCACTGTAATAGCATGTCTTATCATCTCTTCTCCACAGTTGTTTTCTGCTTACCAAACAATCTAGGATATACTTGCACCAATCAATTTTAGAGAAGTCCTTTACCAAGACCAACTTATTCACAACATTAATTTGATTGGTACCACTCAAAGTTGATTAAGCAAATGTGTTAATGAAAAGGGTCAGGAAATTCAGCCTAAACATAAGACTGTCTTGTTTTGTGTTTTTGATTCTTTTCAGGTATTCTTCACCATTGAACCCCTTTTTTTTATCATATTGGCCTTTCCATTCTTGCAGAACTTCATTATGTTTATCACAACTACTCAACCTCATAAAGTCTTCCCTCGCATTTGGTAAACCCAATATGTCATGCACTGTGTCTTTCGTAATTGTTATGACCATATTTTCCAGAACTAGACGGCTACTATCTGGATCATAGTGATCTAACAGATAGTAGTTAAGTAAACCCGGAGTAGTGTCTATGTCAATATGAAGAAGTGAACCAAATCCCATTGACACAATCCCATTTTTCTGTGCGGGTGACATTACTTTCACAGATGAACTTATCCTTCCAGGAGTCATCCTAGTTGCAAGTCTTCTATAACCTTCTGGATGGTCCTTGCTTATTTTTCTGACCTTCCCCTCCATTGTTTTGATTTTATCATTTTCATGTTCTACTTTTCCTTTCTGTCTCTTTGGACTTTTCTTTGAAAGTGCATCTTGCACTACCTTTTTCCTTTGTACAACATTTTTCTTATCTTCCATATCCACACCAATATTAGCCTTTTCATTGTTTTTCTTTGCCCCACTAATACTCTCCATAAAAATCTCATTTAAACCTCTTGGTTTTTTCCTTTCACCACTTGCATCCGACGATTTCTTATTGTCCTTAACATGTGTATTTCTAGCAGAACCCTTCCTTTTCATACTTCTTACACTTGTGCTGTCAATTTGTATTGTGTCTTTCTCATCTTTGTTAAAATCTGTTATATCACAAAAAAACAATTACTAATCGTATAATATAACTTCAATAGAATAATAAACTCTATATTAGCCATATCAGAATCATATAGTTGAACTCATTAATTACAAGCACTTATTATCTAACCTGTCTTACCACATTCTACATTGTTCTTTCCATGTTCTGATCTTGAAGTTGTTTTCCTCTGTTTCTTTGTTTTGCTTGATCCAACAATATTCATATCATTTTGTCCACTTCCGCCACCTTTTGCTTCATTAATTAACAAGAAATACATATTGGCTATCAACATTTTCTAAAATTATTGTTACTTTCCTTCATAAACCAAAAAAATTAAATCTACCTGTAGGTTGAGTACTGATATTCTCTTTAACGGATGTTGATCTGGTACGGTAGTTCCTTCTCACATTTGTTTGGCTTGTAGTATCAACATTAATTGGGACTGGATCAGCTTCTGCAACAACTAATGAAATGAATGATTAAAGTCGCTTAATAATAGTTTTCAAAGTAACCAGCCATACTTCATTACCTATAAAAACTAAAAGTATTATATAAGTTTTCATTCTGTAAGGATGAAACACAAATCCAAAACCTGTTTCTTCCAGAATTAAAACCAAATAGTAAATACAAATAAATTAAATCATCAAACTTCACAGTAATAAAAACATATACATTTACTTAATAGCAATCTCCAGATTAAACAGTCACATTCCAATCTATGTGACCCCAATATACACTTACTTCTGTTACAATTCAGTAAGCATGTACACACATACCCTAACAATGATTCTATTAGAATTTTAATTCTTATGATCAAATTCTATCAGAATGCTAATAAGTACAATGCAAATACACACAATTCTGTTACATTGATTATATTACAATGATTTTATTAGAATTATAATTCTTAGGAGTAAATTCTATCAGAATGCTAATAAGTATAATGTACACACACACAATTCTGTTACAGTGATTCTATTACAATTTTGCTTTTCATCATTCTGTAAGAACGCAAAACACATAAGTATAATGTTTAAGTTAAAATTAAAACCACAACTTTACTACAAAAAAACTAAATCCTCACAAATCACAATAACAAACACAGAGAAACAAACACATATACAAATACCCAATATTAATCCCCATATGAACATTATTTTTTAAAGATTGTCTGAGAATTAGAGTTATTTAACCACTACATCCCCTTCTCATGTTACACATTCTTTACGAATTTAACACATTTAATTAAACTAATTATGTTAGAATTACATACACACCCTACATACAACTAAACTGCAACATCAAAATAATAGGAATAAAACTACAAATTATAAAAACAAAAAAACCAAATTAAATAAAACAATACAACATTATATTACTAAATTGTATCATAACATAAAAGACCTTGAAAGATTTATGCATTTTTTTTAAAAAATATCTCAAAATACTAGAAAAAATTTCAATAACAAACAAAACATTAACACCCTAAATTACCACAACAACAACTACGTTGACTCCTTTTACATATTTAGTATTATGGAAGAATGCATTTCAACAAATAACCTTTTAGTTCTTACAGAATATCCTCAAGTCTGACTTACATCACAACCACAACAATATATTTCTAAGCGAAATAAAGGACAGAAACAACATCGTTTTTCGCGGTTACAAGACACAACAAAATACACAATAACAGACCCTTTTCTTCAAGAATGACATTACCATATATGTACAGTAAAAAATTTTACTTCGTTTGTAAATCCCCAATTTCAGAAAACCCTAATAAAAAAAATACTCCATTTTTATAGATTTTTGTTCTTTGTTACTTAAACGAACTTAACAACCACATGCATCTACTTCATTGTTCAAAAATTCCAAAAGAATGTTCTGTAATCAAACGATTACCTTAAAAAAAACTAATTTTTTTTACCTCTAGGCGGAGTAACGAAATCATCATCGTCTTCATCTAGATTCAAAACCGTTGCTTGTGTGTTCTTAAATTTCGATTTGAAAGAACTCGTCATTGTATTCCTCATTCTACTGCAATTTCTTTTTTTTTTCGAACGATCACAATGCAGTTTCTTTGAACGATCTTCAATAATATAACACTTTATAATAAGAAAACAACAGAATCTACCGTTATTTTTGGTTGATTATAGAAGATTTTCATTGATTTCGTGTTCCAAAACAGAGGGTAGTGGAATCCAGACTTATGCGAAGTTGTAGGGATTATGCGGGAAGTTATGAAAATGGAGCAGTTTTCTATTTTAATGGAGAGGGCAAATGTACACATATACCCTTCCTGATCATTTTTCATTAAATGTGAAGACTTTTTCATTTATTGGATATCTATTTTATGATAATCATTTTCATTTAAAAATTCCATATTTCATTGGCCCACAATTAATAATACAATAACACAATAAATAGTGTTAACAAAATAACTTAAGCCTCTCTCTCTCTCTCTCTCTATATATATATATATATATATATATATATATATATATATATATATAAAATTTCAAATTTATAAAATTACACAAGTGGTCCTTGAGGTTTGTAGTATATTGCAAAATTTGATACAAGGGTAAAATAGTCTTTTTCATTAAAATTTAACAGCTGAACAGTTAGATTTAACGGTAGGAGGACATTTCATGTAATTTTCAAACCACACGGACCAATTATGAAATTTTGTGTAAATCTTCCTTTTGGACAAAAATGGAAAGAACCGGACAATAAATCCAAATTCTACTGTAGGAGAACACCATAAAGTTATTGTGTTTTGTGAACAATTATTTTATGTGTTTTGACAACAATAAATTTAGGTTTCATTCAAGCTTTCTTACTACATATAAAACAGTTTTGACCGAAAATTATAAAGGGAAATTATCATCCTACCTTATTCAAACTTACACTTACACTTACACTTTACTAAATGATAGCTCCACACACACTTACACTTTCACTGACCATCTTATCTTATTATCATCACATTTCGGTATTTTATTCTGAATATAAATATTCTATCAAATAGCAACAGAAAATTATAAATTATTCTAGTTTGATCATCCCAACACGGAATCTTTTTGCCCATTAGTGGAGTCGAGTAATTGATTTGAGTAGGTAGTACAATTGTTTTGATTTTTGAAGTAGAAAACTGTTGATACGGTATCACAGCCACAGCTGTGCGCACGGAGGGTTTTTCAATCGGAATTAAATCCATCGTCTACCCCGATCATATGTTACATGCAGAAGATACAGAGTATCAAACTGTGAATTTGGAGTTGGAAAATGTCGGAAGAGGGAGAAACAGAGGTGATTCATTCATGGTCTGCTCCCAGATCTTTAAGCACCAGCCTCATGTACTCTTTCGCTCAGGTAACTCCGTTTTTTCATCGACTGTGTCTTTGGTTTGAAATATGAATTTGTTCATCTTCCACTGATCAATTTGCTTTTATGATTTAATGATGTTGATTTGTGATACTCCTTCGTTTCAATTCTTATTATCACTTATTCACTTTCCTTTTTGGATATTCGATCGAATTGCACGTTTTCTTCAACGATTTCATGTTGAAATCACAATTACGCTTAGCTATTTTTTTAAAAAAAATTACATTTTAATTGATGATAGTGATTTGAGCTTTTGCGATGACCCATCATACCATGGGGATTTTTGTGACTGAAAGGGATTTAATACGTCGACAAGCAGAAACGTAGAACTATTCATGAAAAAGAGAGAATAGATAATAGATTGGTTGGAGATTTAAGACAAAGATGTTTAGTTTTCATGGTTTGAAATAGATTATTGCGATGCTTCAAAAAAATATTAATCAAACTCAAATAATTATGGAGGGTAATAATTAGTTTATTTAATATTTATTTTAAAGATCTAGTTTTTCAAAATCTGATTTATTTCAATATTAGAAAATCACATAAAAGATATGTTAAAACACAAAGAATTATTAATTTGGGAATCTTCCCTTTGACCTCAAAAGTCAAATCCTCGACCTGTGCTTTCGGGTATGGAGTCTATCAATTTGTAATTGAAACGAGTTTTGATCCATTCAACATATTCTATTATTATTTATTATTCATATTATATTTTATTAGTTTTTGAGAAAAATTAACAAAAGGTATGCCCGTTGGCAGATCCTAAAGGTCATTGTTAATTTTGATACTTATAAATTAACTACTTTTTCATAATAAAAAAAATAATAATCAGCAAAAACTAAAATCATTCCACAGTGTCTATTTGGCTGATAAAAAATATAAACGGACATAAAAGGACATGTAGAAATCTTATATGTTATGTCATCTCATATTTCACGTCGTAGCATATATGTTCTCTAAGCTTTTAAAATGACAATTTTTTATCGACAGATTTTGTAATTTAAAAAAATGCAGTTATTTATAAAATAAATGGTGAAACAAATATTTGATAAATTCTTAGATGAAATGATCTTTTAACAGATGATGTTTATTAAAGTCATGATTGAGAATGATGCTATTTGATGATGACTATTGATAAATAAATAGATAAGTTTGTAAACTAATGTATCTATTGTTGAATACTTTATATTCTTTACAATTCAAAAATAAAAAATTGTATCTTGTAGAAATACATAATAATTGAATAATGTAATCATTAACAACGTTAAATAGAGTTTTAACAAAAAAAAAATGAAAATCCAATAACCACTGTTGAATATTCTATATTTTTCGGTAAATAATATTTTCAATAAGGTTTTGTTTGGCACATAACTAGCTTAGTTTTTGAGTTTTGTTAGATTGTGCTGTTTGGTAAACTAAAAAGTAGCTTATGAGCTAGCTTTGTAGAAAGCTACTTGACTACCTTTTCAACAAGCTTATTGAGCTTGTTCAAAATTCTCCCAAATTTACCCTTTCTTAACTATAGAAAAACTCAATTTTATTGTAACCCAACTTTAAAGATCTTTACACGAATTTAATAAGATCATGTAACAACTTATTTGCATTGAAAGTCATTATGTTAATAGTCTCTAATCCGATAGTTTTCTTGACATGTTATAATAAGTATATTATTATTCTTCAGAGGGATGATACAGAAGTGCTTGATGAACCTCTATATGCACACTATCTAAGGGTAACAGGGGTTGATAGACCATATAGAGAAGAACTTCTTTCAAAAATGGTAAGTAAGTTTACATACTGTCATTGAAAAATGTCCATGGTATTGTATTGTCCTCGTTTCATCTCAAGCTAATAATTCTTTTTTTTTTTTTTTTTTTTTTTTTTTTTTTTTTTTTTTTGAAATGCATAAGGAGTCTGATGGAAATAAGGTTGTGAAAAACATCATTTATGGTCCTGGAAAAAAGAATTATCGTTATTGTAAGGTAATTGATTAACTTTTTATGCTTGCAAGTTGCAATTGCATACTTTTATTTTCCATCTTTAAAAGCTCATGACATTTATTTGTTTTATTACACAGCATATAGCAAAAGTACGACTGCCTGGATTAAGTGATGATTTGACAAAAAAAGGAAAACACTTTATATTAATTCGGAATCCGATTGATTCATTGGTACTTGATACAAATTTACAATGGTTTTTGTTAGACAGTGTTTTTAATGTCTTTATCTGTTGTTTGTTGTTATCAGCAATCTTTTGACAAGGTTGTCCCTTCATCCTTCCATGAACTAGGGTTAGCAGACCTGGTTTCTGTATACAGTGAACTCTCTGCATCAGGGAATCCCCCTCCTATTCTTGATGTTGCTCATCTTCAACAACACCCTGAGGTTTTCAATTTTTTTTTTTTTTTTTTTTGTTTTCTTAAATATCTGTTTATTATTTTACATTGTTTTCAGGCTGCATTACGAGGTCTTTGTGAAGATCTTGACATTCCATTCCAAGATTCAATGCTCAAGTATGTCAATGTTTTCTACCAGTTAGCTGTTACTTAGATTAAATTACATTTTTTCTCCCCCAATATAGCTTATTTTTGCAATTTTGGTCCCAAAAAAGTTTTCTCTTGCAGTCATGGTCCTTATTTGAGGTTCTTGTAATGTTTTTGGTCCTTGTTAATATAGCTGATTTTCACTCTAAAAATAGTCATATTACTTGGAACAGAGACCAAAAACCTCAACTAAGGACCAAAATTGAAAAAATCAGGTATACACAAGGACCAAAAAGGAAATTTACTTATCCTTTTTGTATATCCAGATGGGAAGCTGGTCCAAAAAGTGTTGATGGGATTTGGGCTCCATGGTGGTACAAAAGTGTGCACAAATCTACAGGCTTTGTACAACCAGTAAAATATCGCCCTGTATGTACTACTTGCTTCTGTAATTGCTAAAAACACCAACTTTTATGTATGATTGAAAATTTTGAATAAAACCATTGTTTACTAAGTTGCTTTTTTTCTCATCAGCCTTTTCCACCATCACTTTATGATGTGTTGGAGCAAAGTCTACCCTTTTATAACATGCTCAAAAGTCTTCCAAGAAGCACAAGATTCCCAAAGATTCCAACACCATCTCTCCCTGTTGCTACTAATGAAAAGATTCTTGTTTGGGTTGGTGATGAACTTTTACCCCGTGTCAATGCAATGGTATATTACGCATCCACCCATTATAAAAATTAAAAAAAAAAAAAAAAAAAAAAAATCTTTTTAGTAATCTTTACTTTTTATGTATACTTATTGTTTTTCTTTTGTGACCTTAAATTAAAGGTTTCAGTATTTGACTCAGTTGTCCAAGGTGGTGATTCGGTATGGGAAGGACTTAGAATTTATAATGGGAAAGTTTTTAAACTTGAAGAGCATTTAGACAGGATGTTTGACTCAGCAAAAGCTCTAGCTTTCAACAATGTCCCAACTCGTGATGAGGTCAGATATCTCATATATCTTGTTCATGGTAAAGTTTAGTTTATTAAATTGTTGATTTATTTTGTATTTAATTGTGATAGATTAAGGAGGCTATATTCAAGACTCTGATTAGAAACGGGATGTTTGACAATGCACATATTCGTTTAAGTCTGACACGTGGCAAAAAGGTGACATCAGGGATGAGCCCGGGTTTCAATCTTTACGGATGCACCTTAATTGGTAATAATAACCAAATTTATAAAAATAAAAATGTTTCTTTCCACCAAGTCATATATATGTCCTGATATCACAAGAAAGATTTAAGTACTGTGATTACATTGATTCCTATTTTAATTTTTTAGTTTTTCTTGTAACTCCCTCATGCAGTTCTTGCAGAGTGGAAACCACCAGTGTATGACAATACAAAGGGAATTACTTTAGTAACTGCCACCACTCGGCGTAATTCACCAAATGTAAAAATATAGAAACCCGTTATATTCCTTACTATTATAAATGCAATGTACTTTCTTTTATCACTAACTTTAATTTCTTCATTTTCTTGTCAGAATTTGGATTCCAAGATTCATCATAACAACCTCTTGAATAATATACTCGCAAAGGTAAATATCTTTTTATTAAAAAAAATTTTATGGAAAAAACACTTTAAGTGGTTTGAGATTAACAAGTTACTAAGTTGATGCAGATAGAAGGGAACAATGCAAATGCTGATGATGCGATCATGCTTGACAAAGATGGTTATGTGTCTGAAACAAATGCTACAAACATTGTAAGTCCATTGACATATTCCAAAACAGTAATTGGAATTTGTCTATTGAGTTATTAACATGTTTTAATAACTCCATTTTTCTTTTTATTGCAGTTCTTGGTGAAGAAAGGTATTGTAATGACACCTCATGCTGATTATTGTCTTCCTGGCATCACCCGGGCAACTGTAAGATTTTCTGTATATAAATCCTTCACTTCTTTATTTATGTCCTATATATGTCAACTTGAGATATAAATTTTAATTTATACTCAGAACTCAGAAGTGCTAGTGTAATATTATCCATATTGATTTTTTTTTTAATATTCCATACTCCACTTGTTTCAGGTGATGGAGCTTGTAAAGAAGGAAAAGTTGGTTTTGGAGGAACGGCGCATCAGTCTATCAGAGTTCCATACTGCAGATGAGGTTTCCAAAATTCACTTTTATAATTATTTGTAACCCTTACAATATATATATATATATATATATATATATATATATATATATATATATATAATAACTCAAAAGGTTTTTAATTAACAATCTAGTAATTTACTGCAGGTGTGGACTACTGGAACTATGGGAGAATTGAGCCCGGTATGTTGCTAGTATTTGTATAAATGAGTTTTGAGTAAACATTTATTTAGTCAAATACTACTTCAATTGTATCTATTATTTATGCTCCTTTAATGGTGGTTCTTTATGTATGTATGTATGTATGTATGTATGTATGTGTTACATTTACAGAATTGTAATACTTGTGATGTGGTTGTTGGTTTTTCCTTAAAAAAAAAAAAACAAAAAACAAAAAAACAAACAGGTTGTGAGGATTGATGGACGTGTAATTGGTGATGGCACAGTTGGAGCTATTACTAGAAGACTGCAAACTTGTTTCAAGAAGCTGACTACTGAAGAAGGGCTTGGGGTGCCTATACCTGCCTATCATTAGCAAGCCTGAATCCTGAAATCACACAACACAGGTTTGCTAACTGGTTGAAATTATCATCAATCATTACGCACAAGTTGGTGGTTTTATTTGTTAAATACTTTGACAATGAAAAATCAAACATTTTTTTTTCTTCTTCTTAGCATAACTGTGGTATCCAAACAACTTCAGTCATCAGAGTTTTTCTTTGCTCTGTTTTGTTAATTGCTATAACATGGTTTTCATTAAGCAGACACTGGAATGGAGAAAGAGATGGAAGTTGACTTCGGGAGTTTAAAAAGAAAAAGATGTGGAGTAGTTTGATGAGTGTGAGTGACAGAGTGTCATCCTAATAAATAAACTGAAAACAAGTTGTGCAATATGTATATGCATGCATGTAAAATTATGAATGAATTTTGCAAGGTTTTACCTTTCAAGTGAGTGAGTGGGTGGCTTTATTTTGGTTAATTACATATCTGGAACTGCACACTTCCATAAGCTTATTTAGGGTGGAGGGAGTCATTCCCTCCCAACTCACTCAAACCATTGGTATATCTTTTCCAACCCATAACATATGGAAAGTTGGAAACCATATCTTTCTCAACTCACTTGCCACATCATTCTTTTTTATTTAATTAAATTATAAAATATAAATTAAAATAAATCATAACATTTTTTCATTTAAAAATAAACTTTTGTTAATTTAAAACAAAAAAAAAATCTAAAATAATATTAAAAATAACATTTAATTAAAAAACCACACTACAAATAAAAAAATATATGATACTTATAAAACACGATAATTAAAAAAACACACTGAAAAAGACAAAATAATTAAAATCCTATCTGCAAAGTAATGTCAAATCAGTAGTCGTTCAGTCTCTAAATGATCTCTTTGAATTGTGTTTCTTTTTTGAATGTTGCTTGAACTAGCATTATTTTGAAAAAGAAATTGTGCAGTATAAGACAATGCAGGTAACAAATTATTGTTGATAAGTTCTCCTCAGATGATGAACTATCGTTGTTGCATTCCATTACTATTTTCCTCAAATAAGTTTTACCGCTAGCCATACTGTTCATCCTACGCTTATACATGCAATTGAAAGCGTTACATTTCTTTTGGAGGTCTTTCCATTTTGAATCTACTTGGTGTCGTGACCGATCCGAACCTCCAGTTTAAACATTAAAATGCTCTAGAACCCGATCCTAAAATGCATAGAACCTTTTTTGATTTCCATGTTCTTTATCTAGAGAACAATCGACATATACCCTAGCCAAAGCCAACTCTTGGTGTTCTACCCATTTCTTTGACTTTTGACGGTTTGTATAGTTGCGTTTTTTCTTAGCAACGGGTTCCAACTCCTCGTTGGTTTCTTCTTTGTTTCTTTCGGAACCGGGTCATACTAGACCTGCCAGATTCTACGTTTCGAGCATCACGGAACTGGAAATTCTCGGGTTAAGAAGATTGGAATTGGGTTGCTGGAACCCTTTGAGAAAATTGATTACATGGATTATAACTCAGATTTTCCTCTGAAAGCCTAAATGTGTTGTAAGATTGTTGCACCGGGTAATATTATTGTGGATAGTTTTGGTTTTGTTGATAGTTTTGGTATTGCTAATAGTTTGGATTTTGAAATTTTGAAGAAGAAAATGGAATAATTTAACTTGAATCGTCTTGTGTGGATTTACGTGTTTGGCTCGAACATGCTTGTTTAGCTTGTATAGCATTTGTTTTATTTTAAAAGAAAACAACAAAAAAAAAATATAAAATAAATAAATAAATATTATGCAAAAATTCTCTGCAAAAGAGAGCATTGTGTGGTCAGAATCATATTCACATTAAATGTTCATATCTTTTATAGCATATATCTTGTACATCATCTGTTTTATTAAAACAAAAAGAAAAAGAAAAAGATAGAAAGGGACGAATAAAGAGCAAAATCAATTCTTTCTTCTGCATGAATATTACATTGTGTAGTCAAAATCATGTTCATATGCATGTACGATATTAACTTACGGGTTGGTGAATCCATTGCATGCCTTTAATATATCAAACCTGTTGAACCTCACAATTGAAGGGACCATCACTTCCCTTAGGGAGGAGGGAGTCGTTTCCTCCCAACTCACTGAACCCACTGCCATATCAGTTTTTATCTTTTATTTTTCTTCATCTTTCCCAACCCACAACACACGAAAACCCTATCTTTTTCAACTCACTCAACCCAATTAAGTGGAGAGAGAGAGGGGATGGTACCGGTGGTAACTCTTCTGCTAATTAAGATTTTATTTTGATTGTTTTGTATTTTTTTTTAATTGAATGGGTTGAATGCGTTGAGAAAGATAGGATTTCCGTGTGTTGTGGGTTGGGAAAGATAAAAAAAAATGAAAAAAAAAAACTGATGTGAAAAAAAAAAAAAAAAAAAAAAAAAAAAAAAAACTGATGTGAAAGTGGGTTTAATGAGTTGGGAGGGAATGACTTCATATCCTTATTGCATGTCATGTCTATATGAGCTATTAAGTACAACAAATAAGTTAGAATTTGATTAAAAAAACAAGCTAGAATTGCTTCAAAATATCCAACAATGTAAGCTTAATCAATAATAATATTAGCATATATATAACTAAGGGCTGGAAAACTTGATAAGAAAATTCTGATTTATTATGTATTTAAACTCAATAAATTCATTTAAGTTGAAAGGATTATTAACTTTGCCATGGGAATCAGAACACATACAGATACTGGGCATTAAATCAAAATTTGATTAATCAACACTATTAAAACCTTTTTCAAACTAATAATAGTCGTATAAGTTATTTCATTCCATATCCAATGGAAAATTTATGTTTATTTCATCGAGGCGGGAGTTGAATCAAATTGGACTATATTACCCATCTTGATCTCTGAAATGTAGAATTCTTGGAAACTCATAATGAATATGAATATGCCAATAATTATTAAGTTTTGAGAGGCATAAATAAAAACCAACCAGCAAGTCCAATAACCCACCCCCTGTTAAGACTAATTAAGGTGAAACTAGTGGGTGAAACTGAAGGTGGAAGGATGATTTCATTGCACCTGTATGTATGGTATTTATTGGTGTAACAGGAGGTGCAAAAGAAAAGTTGGTAGAAAGAAAGAATGATATGACCAAAATCCTTATCTGAAAAAAGCACAGCTTTATGACATCATCTCAGATTCACCAATCCTAACAACAATATTCTCTCACCAATAAAGGATGATGGATAACATAGCATAACAGGTCAGGTCACCACTCAAACTAACTAACTAACGATACATCTGACTACTATCATACTGACCATAACCTGCTTGTGGCTGTGACTGAGGCTGAGGCTGTGGCTGTGGAGTTGCATATCCACCAGCAGTTTGAGTTTGAGGAACAGACTGATCATAGCCAGGCTGAGCTGGAGCTGGAGCCGGAGCCAGAGCTGGTGCTGGTTGAGAATAAGCAGTAGGCTGAACAGGTGGCCCATATCCCATCCCTGGACCACCACCACCATACCCCTGATCCACAGCTGGCCCTTGGTAACCATAACCTCCAGTGTTTGGAGCTGCTGCTGCAGCTTGTTCACCGTATCCAGGTTGTGTCGAAGGGTACTGACCATAACCACCAGTTGGAGGAGCATAACCAGGTGCCGCCTGTTGTCCATACCCAGAAACCGGCGGAGGAGGAGCGTAACCACCAGGGTGACTATACCCATCATTATTAACAGGAGCAGGGGCAGTAGTACCATACTGAGGGTAAGGTTGTTGGGTGGGCCCAGTTGACATAGGGTATGGCTGCTGTTGACGAGGTGGAGGTGGTCCGTACGGTTGACCATAGGGTCCCTGTTGTTGTTGTTGTGGCATGTTGTAGGCTAGGGGCTTACCATACTGATCAACCTGCTGCTGTTGCTGACCATATCCTTGATTTTGAGGGTAAGTTGAAGGTGGAGGCTGGGTAGCTTGGCCTTGTCCTCCATATGAAGAATATGAATGTTGACCCATGGGCCCCTGGTTGTGATCATACCTGGGTTCACCGTAACCTTGTCCTTGCCCCCCATACCCCCCCTGTGGTGCAGTCTGCCCGTAATCTGGTCCATAGTTGTAGTTTACTTGAGAAGGAGGAGGTGGGCCCATTCCCATTCCCATTCCCATTGAGTTAGGGTGGGACTGCATGGGATTGGGAGGTGGTGCACCACCGTAGTAGTCGTAACCGTAACCAGTCTGTTCAGGCATATTTGTTGGAGGTGGTCTTTGGTCCCAGCCATAATTGTTTTTTGGTGGCAGAGGTTGTTGTGGTGGGTAATTTCCATAACCTGAGGAGGAATATGGTGGGTTTTGGGATGGATAGGATCCACCTCCACCTCTTGAGGGTGGTGCTGAATAGTTGTTATTATACCCACTTGCATGTGAATGTGAATGTGAATGGTGACCACCGCCTCTTGGTCCTCCCCAATTAGACCCGGGTCCACGTTGACGCTGGTTGTAACCACCTGATGGTGTTGATGACCTTGTTGGCTAATGTTGTAGCATCAACACAAAATAACCACAAGTCAGTATCATGGTATATAAGAAAACAAAAATACAAGTCAAAGATAACATAGTCATTATAATCTACAAGAATGAGAGCAAAAACACAATTCTCAAGGCAGAAGATACGTGTGAATAATATCATCTTCATCTCTGGAAGCATAACTTATAAGCAACACCAACACATGACTATTCCCTGGTGAAATCTGCTAATTACTCGTAGTTCCAACTAAAACTACATTATTATTTATAATCACATATAACAATATTAAATAGGATTCAGCTAACAACATGCTTTACGTAACAATTTGCTTCTAATTAAGAGCAGATAAACAGACTTAAACAAGTATACATGGGAATGGTTTTCAAGATAAGCAAAAGAAATGGCAATTTGGTTCATCAACCATGCAGATATCAACTCTCACATACTTAGATAAAGTGGAACAACTTCTTATTACTTCTAAAAACAAAAGATGTGCAGTCAGTAACAGGACCACATGATTAGAGCTAGATTACTTCAATTAATAAACTTGCCCCCCTCCCTAATAGATGACAACAGACACTACCATATGTCTCAATCAAGAAAGAAACAAATTAGGTTCAAATATCATCTAAATTATCCAGGCATGGTGCTTTCTTTTTCTTCCAAGACATAGCTCATGCATAGAACAAGGGGATGTGGTATAAAATAGTCTTTTACTAATACTAGTAGTAGTACTATCATTCATGGATCTTTGAGTCTTGAAGCAATCTTACCAATACCATTAACTTCCTTCAAAAGCCAAGATTTATGTGTGAAACTGATACTGATACTGATACCTTTCCTCAGTGGATGAATGAGAGATAGAATGACTGACTAATGGTTGTTTATTGCTACACCAAGAAACCAATGCTGACCCAGTGTCAGGAAGTAAAAGCCAAATCTGCATTTTTAAAAGCCAACCAATTCCAAAAATCGGCATCTTCAAAACAAATAAATCATCGCATTGCATGGCATGGCAGCAACCCATGTCTCATTTTCAAATCAACCAACCTCATTCAATCATACATCATGTTGTCAACACTCATGAGCTTACAAGCAATCTTGCTCCAACCCTATAACTACTGACACCACTCGATACTCAAGAAGCAGAGCAACTACACAACCAATGGCAGAAACTAAGAATGATTTCATGTCAAAGCTCAGCTGTTGTAGCAATGGATTAAGAAAAAAAAAACACAGATATACTACTAATGTACCATCAGAATATACATATAATGGTAAACCGTGTGAAGACGTTAAGAGCATCAAGATAAACTTAAGTACACGATACTTCTAACCAAGATCATACTGTAGTAACCTAGTGCATACACTTACACATGATAGAACTTCATGTAAAATCGGTATCTATCAATGAACTAATAACCAAATTTACAGTAAACAGAACCTGAAAACTATTAAGAATTTAATATCCAAATATGAGTGATTTATCAAGGATTGATATAAATTTTTTGACTATGAAACACAAATCAGGCAAGGAAATAACCAAAAAGATGTTGCCCCTTGACACACACAGCTATTAAAGCAATATCCGCAGAAACTACATATCAAACAATAAAGACTACTTCAAGACATTCAAAAACACTATAAAAACAATGTTCACGCATATCAAATATGCCTACAATAAAAATCAGCAAATCTAGAAACCATCATAATATAGAAGCATATTGCAATTATTAAGTCAAAAGTAACGGATGTGCACAAACCTGTTCCATCACTTCCTTGATCAATTCTTTTGCTGTCTCAATCTGTTTCCTATCACCGGTGACTCTCACGGTTCTTTCTCTAGATTGGTCCCCATCAGGAAGATGTTGAGGAATCAACTACATTATGCATAGCATAACAGATTCAGAAAAGTATATCAAATTAGGTCTTTCATCACACAGGCAAAAGTGTCAAGCCATCTCATAAACTACCTGAATGCGTGCTCCAGACCGTGTCTGCAGGTTTTTAATAGTTTCCCCACCTTTCCCAATTATTACACCAACCTACAGGAAATAAAAAAAAATTTAAGAAGTTACAGAAATCCAGAGATAAGAGATATGGGGATATGAAATTGCAAAGTAACCTTTTCATTTGGAACTTGTATGTGAACTTGTTCTCCAAATCCCCCTGAAGAATGGGCACTAAAACCTCTGGCAACCAAAGAAGGGGAACCACCAGCATCAGCCTGCAAGATGAAAACTTAGCCTCAACATATACAGGCAATACAAATTTTAAAGAACATTAAAATAAAAAATATTACACCTCTGCTATAACATCTTTTATCAGCCGCTCAGCCTTATTTATATTCTCTAAAGAACCTATTAACTCCACAGGCCTGAAAGCCGAATCTGGATCAACATCAGAGTCCCGTGTGATTTGAATCCTTGCCCCCGAACTATATTGCAAGGTTCGGATGGTGTCACCACCCTTGCCAATTAAAACACCAACCTGCTCCAAACAATCCATGTAACTCTTTAAAGTGAAAAAGGTATAACTTAACTAGTCAACATAAAAAGTCAGGAAGCTCACCTTATTACTTGGGACTTCCATTCTACGTGAAGTAAGTTGGTCAGCCGAAGCAGATTGCTCCTTCAAATCAGACTCATCTTCCTGTAAACCAACATCTGTAGTGGGATCCTGATATTCTACTCCATATTCCTGTTGCTCCTCTTTGGGTGACTCTACAGGATTCTCAGCAGCTTGCAGTTCCAATGAACTTGCCAGGGGTTCGTCAGTTACAGATTCTTTGTTCACATCATCCAAGGGTTCATTGGACTTTTCTTGATTCTCCTCCAACTCGGTATTCTTCACAGAATCTGATGGTTCAGCGATGTCTTCCTTTTCTTCATCTACCATTTCCTCCTGGTGTCCATTCTCGGTAGTTTCTATTAGTCATATGAGTGAAAAACAAGTAAGGTTACAATATAGTCAGAGATTGTGCTTCAAATTTCAGCGAACATTTCGATGTAAAGTATTTTCGTCTGTTATTTCTCATCATATATATCAGTCCATCAAGTTAATCGTCATACAGGCATTTAAATTGAATCTTACATTCCCTCTTGTCATATCAAAGAACTAAAAATGAAAAGTGGATTGTGTAAACAAATATGCACCAAGGCTTTAGAACAAATTTTTGAAAACATTCAAGACCCAAGGTGGGGAACTAAAGATCATGTAAAACAAACCACAGTGGTAATGCAGTGATTTGAGAAAGACACAATGTCCCGTTACCTTCGCCCTTCCCTAAAATCACTTCTCATACTCAACTAGAAAGACCTGGTTTCAAGGTTTCTAGGCGTGGGAGTAATTTCATGGCATGTACATCACGCATAACATGTAATTCAAGAGACGTCAAATACTACGTGAAAACGACGACGACATACTCAGAAACATACCAGAACCGTCTGAATTGTCCTCGAGACGAGGTCGTTTCGCGTCTGGATCTTCGGTAGAAGCAGCATCAGCGTCTCCGTCGGCGTCGCCGTCACCATCAGCATCACCATGACCGTCGGCCAGCGACTGTGAATTGCCATTGGACTCGGCGGAAGCCGGTGGTAGCTCGAACGGTTCGCTATCTAATTCATCGAGTTTCCGCTTGTGATCAGACGGAGCAGGGCTTGCTGAGCCCATAACCTCTTCGTCCCCCATCGCAGAGTAGATCCGAGTTTTAGGGTTTCAGTAAGGGTTCGTAAGATAGGTGCAAAGTAGTCTCTTCTGTTTCTTCCCCTGGGATGATTCAGGGTCTTTTATACATACGGCCCTCGGATGAATATTTTCTTTCCGTTTTGGTCCCTGGACAGACGGACAGTGGAAGTAAAAGTGGGTGGGAGTGTGGATGAAATAGGGCTGAATGTAAACCGGCCCAGTTGGAATACTAATTTAGGCCCGTAAAAAAAGCTTGGGTCCAAAATACATTATATTTTGTTCGTCATATATGTAGCGATTAGCGAAGTGCATACAGGTTTTCTAATTTAACCCAGGTTTAAAATTAGTTTGGCCTATCTCATTAGGGAGCTGATATTTTTACGAATATTTTTGATGCATCACCATTGGCCATATCCAACTTCTTCTCTTTTTACTAGCGTCAACCACCTCACCTCCAGCCATCTATGACTTCTTCACATCCCATAATGGAATCTACAAAGAAATTGTATGAACAAGACTACAAGAGCCAAGTGTTTTCTCGAGTAAGAATATATATGTGGTCTTTACCATTCGTTTTTAGCTTTCCCAATTAAGAAGTGATTTCCCTAAGTATTTCAAAGCACTAAAACCAATTTAATAATTTGGTTTAACAACCCTAGGGTTGTCTTATATATAACTTATTAATTTAGGTATTTTTTATGACAGTTTGTCGGTCTGTTGACCTTAACTCAATTATTGAAACTTCAATCTCGTCGATTCAAAGTTTCACTATAAATAAGCAACTTTATCATGCTCATTTCATCAACACAACTATGTCTCTCTTCTATTAAATGAATCATTACAAAAATAATCAAGTTTCAAGATGATTTATCCATTTTGTTAATCGTGCCTACAATATTCATGTTGCTTCTCATCATGATCTTTATTTCCAGATGAAGAGTTTTGTATTTTTATAAGTTTATATGTAATGGTGGTTCCACCACTGCTCTTTTGTGCGATTTTAATTATTGTACTTAAATTTTGGTTTTTATCGAGGATGAGGTCGGAGGTTGCAATTCCTACGGAAAATTATCATTTTGGTCTAAAAAAGTTTGGACTAGCACCAGAGGTCCAAACTTTTTATTTTATTACGGTTTTGGTCAACTTTTTTTGTAAATATTTAAACTAATGGTTTTGCCCTTATTATTTTGATTTTATTTTTCTTTTAGTACAACAATTAAAAAATAAAAGCAAAAAAGAAAAATAAACCCCATCCCAATCCCAATCCCCTCCCCATTCTATTCCTGTTACTAGACTAGTCTTCCCCATTCTTCACCTTATTGCCCTCCGATAAACATCTCCACCACTAGTCAACACAGCCGCCACCAGTTAACCCCTACCAACACCACTGGTTACCATCGCCACCACCCTCGATATTCCTGCGAAGACCCTTACCGAACCAACGCCTCTTTCTCCCTCCACCCCCTATCTTCTCTGACTCATATCGACGAACATCACATTCTTCTCCCGCTGAGACCGACGAACACCACCTTCCAGCGACATTTAGGGTTCGCTATTTACAAGATCGACGGAGTACGAGGTCGAGTTGTAGTAGATCTATTCGTCGTGTATGAATCTGAATATGTTTGTTGTTGAAACGAAAACCCTAATCCATATGATATAGGTGGTGACGCTAGGGTTTTCGGTACGGATATGGATCTATTCGTCGTATACAATCCCCTCAAGAACACAAAGTCACTGGAGCCAGAGTCTCTAAAATCCTAACTCTTCAGATCTCGGTGGGTAGTGGCAGAGACGATGGGGGCTAAAGATGGGGATGAAAATTATGTTACTGTCGAATCTGGAATGCTCATTCTTTGACGATATAAATCTAAAAGACGATGAAGTTGGTGAACACTGATGGCGATACTGTGATTCAACGAAGGAGACGATCAAGTCGGAGAAGACGAAGGAAGGTGTCGGTGGTTTCAGTGGTTTCTAACGTAAATGGTGACTGCAGCGGTGGTTTCGATGGTTTCCATCGAATATGGTGGCAGTAACGATGGTGGGTTCCGATGATGATTGTTTCTGGCAAGGTGTGGTTTTTCGGCGAAAATGTAGAGAGAGAGAGAGAGAGAGAGAGAGAGAGAGAGTCTTGTATGTGTGGTGGGGGTATCTATGGGTAGGGTTATATTTTATTGAGTAAATTACACGAATGGTCCCTATGGTTTAGGGTAATTTGCGCGTTTGGTCCCCAACTTATTTTTTTAACTCGGAAGGTCCCTACTGTTTGTTTTTGTTACGCGTTTGGTCCCTGTCTTACCTAAAAAGACTATTTTGTCATTGATTTTTTAATTTATTTAAATAAGCACACCCCCAACCCCACCCCTCTCACCTTACCTTACCTACTCCACCATTTTTCTCTATTTAAATAATAGTCTTTTTTAGGTAAAATAGGGACCAAGCGCGTAACAAAAACAAACAGTAGGGACCAAACGCGTAACAAAAACAAACAACAGGGACCTTCCGAGTTAAAAAAATAAGTTAGGGACCAAGCGCGCAAATTGTCCCAAACCATAGGGACCATTCGTGTAATTTACTCTATTTTATTTTTTGATTTATTTTTATTTTTCTTTATTCAGAAAAAAAAATAAATCGAAAAATTGAAAAGAAAAAAAATTAAAGACAAAATTATCATCGTAAAAAAATTAAAGTTTAAAGAAAATTGGATAAAAATAATAACAAAATAGAAAGTTTGGACAAAATAACAATTTTAGCTACTCAGAGACCATTTGTGCGGTTTTGTGAAAGTAAAATAACCAGAATGCCCTCTTGTAACCTATAATCAATTTACGGACATCGACCGTCCATCACAGCCATCGTGCTTATTCTCCATCGACTTGGCTTGTTCTTCTCCAGCACCGCTGCTTCTCCTAATCTGTTCTTCACCGTATAGACTCCATCTCCTCCGTCAGTTTGCTTCTACATTGGATTCCTGATTTCGAACTGCAATAATCGGTTATAGGGATAAAAAAATCAAGATTAAAAGGGAGACGCACGGAAAAGAGGAGAAGGCCTGTTATCGCCTTGTTTAGTATTGCATATCACCTCCCTGAAACTTCCTGCGCTGATCAATCCCAAATCCGACATCAAACCCACTAGTAAGTAATTTCAATTTATTGTTTCTAGTACCTGTGGCTGAAGCAATTTATTTCTAGTACCTTTTTTGCACCAATCCGAATTTCTGTAAGTAATTCTCGCTTAAAGAATGATTGCCACCACATAAAGTTCTCTGCTATTGTTTCTAGTACCTTTGGGTTGTTTCTTATGGCTAGATCATGTTTTAACTGATGCTACTTGAATCTTTCCTTGAACACTCTTGTAGGAACTGTTAGCTTATAGTGGTGGCAATTGTTATCATTTTGGGCTTGCATTTGGTTATGTGGTTTTGCAAGAAGTTTATGATCATGAACATATGTTGTTAAAGATGAATGTGCATGAATATCACAAATCAATTAAATAATTATTGAAGTTAATAAAAATTGTGATGTTATTTATGTAAATTTTTGTCAAAAAAATGATTTCGTATAAATGATTAAAGATAAGGCATTGTATGTAAAAAGCAAATATGTCAAATATATAAAGATGTCTTCTTTGGTCATTTTACACATATAAGTGCTTTTTTGGTCATTTTACACATATAAGCACTTTTTACCAAACACTCCAAAAAGTTCTTATAAACTTATAGATTTTTGCAACCACATAAGCCAATTCAAAACACTTTTTATAAAAAAATTTGTTTTGCTACCACATAAGCTGGTAAGCACTTTTTCAAAAAATGCTTTTTGTTTTGAAACACAATCCCAAACACCCTCTAGAAATTACTGAAATTTGAGGTTGGCTCTTTGACTTCTTTAGCATCTGTTCCATCTTAAATTAGGGTTTGATTCATTAGGGTTTTATAGTATCCCTGGCTGATGTTTTTTCACATATTTCTTTTAAATGAAATTACTTGATAACAGTTGAATTAATCATATATTGAGAGAGTTTATTTTTGTAAGATGGAGCAAGAGGTGATAGAATCAGAGATGGTGTTACCTACACACCTAAGTTTTAAAAAGATTCAGATGTACGAGAAGTACCCAAAAGGTCAAGCTAGAGGGAGGCATTGGAAACATCTCAAGCAGATCATACAAGCTGAAAATTACCAAAATTATCCTGCTGATGAACCAAATTGTGAGTACTACTACTTATCAATCTGTATTGGTAGAAACCTGGGATATTGATATGTTTCATATTGCATCAGTTTACACATTTGTGATAATGTGGAGTATTGTCATTTGATTTACTGTAGGTAGGCCTACTTCTCCTAAAAGGTTTCGTCTCAATAAATTTAGTGAAATAACTATCTAGATTTTTTTACAAGTACCATATTTTTGATGTTGACATGGTAATCTTTTTTTCATTTTGAATTGTGATTATATAGAATTAGGATTTGGCAGTATGTATATCACTGGAATAAACATGAGTACATGTACAAATGGCAGTGTTAGCATATCAAGGGACTAAATTCGTAATAATTCTTTTTTCTAGGATTGTCAACCTTGAGATTAGAGAATTTATTGAAAAGCTTTAACGATATTGTTTTTTAATCCAAAGAAACCAACATGTCATTGATTGCCTTTTAGAAGGTGTTCCTTTTTGTTAGGATTTTAGTAGAAACCTTTTTTTTTAATTGACATTATACTGTTTGGGGATGTCAATACTTATCTATTCACTTAGCATGTGTATATGATTTTGCAGATGTTAATATTGAATCTCCACCTTCGATGCACCCTCGGAAGCAAATTTGTGATATAACTGGATTTGAGGTATGTAAATTAGGCATGGGGTTAAATAGCAATATACTTCCATTGATTTGTTTATCATAGGTCATTCAAATAGAAAGCAATTTTTCAGTGGTATAAGTGGGTAGAGTTTTTAAAGTATAATGTCCTAATGCTAATGAAAGCACATCTTTCAAAAAACAATGGCTTAATGATGTAGAAAGATGTATATTTGTGTAGGATGCTATAAATGAAAGTAGGTTGGTATTTGTGGTAAAATGAAATGTATGATTTTGCAATGCAGGGACCTTATAGCGACCCAAGAACCCATCTGAGGTATGCAAACACAGAAGTGTTTAAGGTGATCAGATCGCTTCCTAACGAGTATGTGCAAAGATATCTTGCTCTCAGAAACGCAGCAGTTGTTCTCAAGTAATATAAAATTCATTTCACCATTCCATTTGATGTGATACAATGTCTGTGTTACTATTTGATCCTTTCGGAGCTTGTTAACATTTGAATGAATATATATATATTTAACCGACTTTCAACTGTTTAAGTTTAACCCATTTCATCTGCTTTGATTTTCTAGCCAAGCTTTTATATGTTATCTAATTCACCGTTTGATGATAAAATATGGCCGAGATTAACCCATTGTAAGTAAGCGGTTGGGTATGACTCTCTGTTTGATGATTCAATTGATAAGAGTCTCGGTAATCAGGCCTTGTTGACTCAATCAACAACTTCTAAATGAAGGGTCAAAAATTCACTTACTATTTTTTCTGTTACAACTTACTCCTTAAGCTTAATCCTAACTATGTCATTTTACATGAAACTTCTTTTCTCTTGCAACTCAAGAACGCAGTTAATAAAATTCTCTTTCCATCTCTTTCTCTTTCTCTTTCTTTCCCATCCCCTCCCTTTCCTTCCCCCTCCTCAGTCCTCAAGAACAAGATGTTTAGATATAAATATTGCATACCTTTAATCCAAAATAGGAATGGAAATGGGGATAGGGTACATATTCGAACCCAAAAACAAAAAATGTTCCTATAACCAATTTGAATAAGTCACTAAAACACTGATTAAAAGTATGAGTTAGGTGGACTCATGTTTCAACAACACTATCATATACTCATACGAATGAGGTAAGGGGTTGTAAGATAATCATCGGGTATGAAGACTCTTTTCGTAGAGAACCTCCAGAAAAAAAAAAGTATAAAAATACAAAAAGGGGTAAAATAAATAAAAAAAGAAATATTGTAGTGCGTCCAAGACAAAAAGATCCTTGCATATAAAACATCAGTTCACAATGGAAAAAAAGAAAACAATAATGTAAGTCTAAAAAAATACGGATAAACAAGATATGTCTTTAAGTAGATAGGGAAACTTGGAAGGGTCAACCACTATAACATAAATCGATAAATAAGTAGTGAAAAACACTAAAACAAGCAGATAGCATACAATAATAACACTTGTTGAAAGTAGTAGGAAACATGAGTAAATAGGTGAAAACTGACAAGCAAGCAACACCCTAAAATAGGTCACTACCAGGGGTGGAGGCAGTACAGGGACTAGCAGGTGTTAGCAGGTGTGCTGCCCACTCCAACATGTT